TAAAAATCTTTGCAGATTGACAGCCATATGTAATTATTGTTGACTGTAAATAGCGCGTATTTCGATTTGCTATGGAGTCCGAGGCATGTTGTTCGAATCAAACCTCATTGTTCTCTGTTATTGCTGAATGTCCAGCTTTGCTAGAACAGGTTGGTACTCATATTTTATACGAAAAGTTTCTTTTTTTTGTTTTTTTATTTTTTTTTTAATTGATCTATCAAAAACGATGTGACTTCAGTATGGTGCTTCTTTTTTATCTGCTACAGTGAGATTGTTGGTACAATTTGGGAGGTTTTGAAGGTCCCTGAAACGTTCTTTTTGGGTACTACGCACGTTGGATTGAGGTGTTTTGATGTGTCGAAAAGTTATTTTGTTTTTGGAAGTGATTGTGGTGCTTTGTTTCCTTACAATCGAAGAATAAATCGAAGCGCAACTCCGTAACTCTTTTTTTCTTTTTTTTTCATGTATAAGAAATGCTGTTATTGGTTGTGAACAGCTCTAAAATAGCAATTTTTTTGGAAGAAAATGACAAGATTTTTTTTCAGTCTTCGGACTCATTATGATGAAGTTATAACATGTGTTCGTTTGGCATCGGATGATAATGATATTTTAGCTGCTGGTCACAAATCGGGTATACTTGTTATATTACGTTTTCCATCAAATACTACTACCTCCAGAAGAAAGGTGAGTTCTCCTTTTGGGTTTATTTTTTTTATCTTTCTCATCTTCTTCGCTTTTCAAGAGCCAGTTTCTGAAATTAATATTCTCGCATTTTAGATCCAACAACACTTGAATCCTGATTTACATCAAGGTAGTGCTATTACTACTTTGGAATGGGGCGGTAGAGGAAATTGGCTGTATTCTGGCGATTCCTCTGGGGTAGTCTGTGGAACTTTTGTTGATTTTGATGAGGTTATTACGTGTTCTGCTTTTACCCATAAAGAGGAAATTATTAATTTTGGCTAAAATGTCATTTTTTTCTGGAGACGGTTTAGGACGGATTTTATTAACCCGCTCGTGTAATTTTGAACGTATGTTGTTGTAACTATGAGTGGGTTATGAAGTCTAAACTTTTGAATGGTTTTAGTGTCATTTATAGATTATAAAGTTTTAAAATATGGTTTTTAGGAATGTTTTGAATCTCGGATTATATGTGAAAGACCTTCCTCTGTACGGCAACTATCTTACGCGTCGAAAGTTCTGGCAGTTAAAAGCGACAAAGATATAATATTATTGAAGTTAGATGAAGAGAGCGATAAAAGAATTATGTTTGAATTAGGGCTAGACGGAAGGTTTTCTTTTCTGTTGCTTAACACTGTTTAAGTTTCTTAAAGTAATGCAGAGTTATTTCGGTGCTTCAATAATAATTTTTTTTGTTTGGCATTTTTATCTAGAGAAACTATTGTTTTTTTAGAAGACACCTTTTTTTTAAAGAAAAAAGATGAAGTTTGCAAACTCTATTAACGATGACTTTTATGCCCTTCTTCGTTCAGTTTTCTTCCTTAACTAAGCAGTAAAAATATTAAAATATGTTTCTTCTGTCTAGTGACCTGTTACTGCTGTAACTGATAATAATTTAAGCTCGGAAGTGAGTTTCTGCTTTGCCGCTGCGGAGCCACCGTTATCCCTCTTCATAGGATCGAGCAGCGGAGTAGTTGATCATTATAATGTCTCCACAGGAGAGCTGCTACAGTCTATATGTTTAAAAGACCGGGTGAAGCTTCTCTCAGCATGAACTTCATTAATTTTTTAAAATTAGCTTTAGGAATCATTATATTTTTTTTTCAGATAGGCGGTTACAATACTATTAAAGGCAGTGGGTGCGTCTTGTATTATCTTGAGTATTATCCATTCTAATTTTTCCTTCCTTTCCGTTTAAATTTAGTCATTACTAAATGCTTGTTATACTTAATTAGTCTTGAGGCAGGTATTATTTTTGAAAAAAATTACTTTTTAGCTCGTTGTGTAAAGTGTTTGCGTTTGGGGATAATGTGTTGTACTGCTGTAACAAAAATTTGGTTCTTCTTACAACGGAAGATAGATTACGAGTTCTTGATTCTCATCATCTGAGTTTCCTGGAACTGGATATGTGTTATGTAAGTACCTCTGGATTTGTGCTATTAAGAGTAGTCGGTCGTCATATGATCAGCTTAATTTAAGATTGAGGATATACGGGTTGATTTCGTATCAGTACCAGTAATATACATTCTAACGAATGACAAGAGGGTTTTTTATGTTTCGTCTGAAGAACCTCCATATTGTTTTCGTGTAGTAAACGGTAAATTGTTTTTTCTGTCGGAAAAATAATGATTGTTTTTATTAAACTTCATTTAGTATAGTAGCCACCTGAAAATTCTTCAATTATTTAATAGTTTACGGACCAAGTGGATAAATTTCTTTTATCGTATACCGAACGATTCGTGATTATACATATTTTCAAAATTGAATTATTGCATTTTTAGTCATCACGCGAATTTGCGGTCTGTTATTATTGAACTGTTTCAGAAAGACCTCAGGAATTCAATCCTTTATCTCTAATTTCATCGATTCAAAAAACAACAAAGCTACTATCACTGGCTCCAACCAAGGCTATATTAAACCGTATAAAATCGAAAGGGGATCAGGCATTGCCATCCTTGACTAATTTAAGTCGTCCTGTGTTCAAGACTGTCCTGAATTCAGGCGAAGCTTTTCTTAAAAACAGGTATCTGTTTAACTGACTCCTCTATACAAACTATGATTTTCCTGTACTTGTTACCCTATCATATTTGCTGCGCAGCAGAATCCATACAAAATTTGTTTTGCAGAGAATTATTACATAGGTTGAGGTATGAAAGCACCAGCGAACGGAGGACCAGTTTGGAAGACAGTAGGCCTTTTTAAGCATTTTGAAATATAAAAAAGAAGAAAAGAGTGTACTTCGTAATTCAACTAAATAACACTTAATTTTTTGGTTTTGAGAAGAATTTTTGGTACAACGATTCGGGAAATAGATTGGAAGTGGAGGTCAGTAGAACTGATTAAAAGATTTTAAGTTTAATGAAGAACACTTGAACGCAATGGGAGGTTTCAAAGTGAGCTGCAAGTTGTCTATACATTGCTATCGCGAGCGCTAGGCCAACATAACCAAAAGTAGGGGCGGTAACGAACTGTATGCAGTAAGCTGGTAGTGAGAATTAGGCCGCTGAACTTGATCAGTGGAAGTCAAACGTGAGTAACTGAACTTCTCCTACAGAAAAAATCTCATGACAGCTATACTCTAAAAGTTTGTGCAAAAAGTTAAATCTATGACGAATGAAAAGATACAATTTAATTGAAAATGGTTTTCAATCAAATATAAGTCGGTAAAAAACAGAAGCAGAGAGAGAACGTTAAGTCAGCGCAAACGCCAAGGAAGGTATTTATAATGATCTAATCTTTTAACAATATCACTGATAGGCTTGTAAAAAACCACCTCAGACTGGCGCTTGCATGTAGCTGTATACCTCTGTTACTAATCAGCACATCCGATCTGAGCGCGTGATATTCGATGGCCATCTTTTTTACTGTTTACTTTGCAGCAATAGTTCAGCCTTAAAGAAAATTTTGTACGGTTAGCAGGTCGACAATACAATAAAATAATTCGTTATCGGCTGAAACACAATTCCATCTGTTATCTAATACAACCTTTTTGAACTCGTTCTTGACACTATGTGATCGGTTTTCTGTATGGGAAGGGAGAAGAATTAGAAAGAAAAGGTGCACGTCGCGAAAGAGGTCTTTGATTATTTTTAATTGAGTTATATGGAATGTTCTCTTGGTTTCATAAAATTTATCGTATTTTGTTGGGACCGAGCTTCTCGCAAAGAATTTTTTGACGCAGAATTACATCACTTCAAAAGTTTGCTTCTCTTCTTGATAATAAACGCAAACTTCGCTTCTATCTCTTATCGCTATCTTAGAAGTCTTAATTCTTTAACTACCATGATCTTCTGTCTTGCTTATGATGTAGAATGTACTAAAGCTTTGTTTTTAAACCGCCACAGCACTTCATTATTAAACACCGAAGGCTTCTGCCTACACTTGCCATGAAGATCCTGGGAACGGGGAAAATTCTGGATCCGGAGATTTTTCAGTATGCTGTGAACGATTTCGGAAACATTCGACAATTGGAGCTAGTTTCCATTGGCTCTTCTTTGACCGTGTATCCTTTGGAAAGAAAGAATTGGCATGACTGTAATATTTGATCTTAATTCAAGTGCTGACTTTCGATATATTTATTACATTATATCGTTTGAGTTTGTATTGGCATTGCCCTGCAGCTTGCGCTTACCATGGGGTTTTTAAGAGCAAGGGTGAAATATAAGGACTTTTCGTGAATTGTAGGCTACTTTATGGGGTTTTAATCGTTTTCATGCTTCTTCCAAGAGACCTTTCTCTCAAATCCTCCTCTTTTTGGAAAAATGTACCACCAGTCAGTTGAGGAACATTTTGTATCATTTGTTCGTTTTTTTTTTTTTAAAGTGATTTACTTAATTTACATTTTGCGGTTTTTTCACAGGATCTAGTGAACTAATGAGCAGTACGTCAGATCTCTCTCAAAAATTGATTAAGAATGTCAACGAAGTTTCGAAATATTTCGTTGATCTCGTTGGCGGTGCCGGTATTCCGGTAAGCCACTTCTTTTTCATTTTTTTAAATTTTACATTATCATTAAAGTGTATTACTCCAAATTTTAGAAAAAATACTTTGTTCAAATTTGTTTAAGGTCTTTACTCGTATTTCCAGGTTCACGAAGGCCATTTTGCCGAAGACCCGACGCCTACACATTTATCTGTAGAAGCAGGGGGAGAAGAGAGTCTAGAAGAACTTTCAGGGGCGTGTCACGAAGTCCTCGTTCAAAGAACTGGGAAACTTAACAGACGAAGAAATTCTAATAGCTCACTTAGCGTATCAGCCTTAGACGCTGGTACATTTAGCGCAGATACCATCACTTCTGTTGACGACAGCGTTTTAAACAGTATTCGGGAAGGTTTGTTTCGCGCTGCCTCTCTCTCATTTTTCAAGATAACTTTTGAAAACAGCTTTTGAACAGTGTTTTGAAGACTTTCATCTTCAGCGCTTCTTACATCTACCGAAGATGCATCCAAATCTGAAGTAAATAAAGGCGACAAAGAGGCGGAAATTGCTGTTAGTGAGTCTGATCGTGAAACTCACACCACGTCATCGGTTTTGTTTTTTACTTTCGAAATTTTTATTTGTGAGGTTATGATTTGCAGCGGTTCACAGTTCACGATTAGTTTAACTTGTGCTTAGATAGCTTAGTTAAAAATCATTAAGTTATGAATTTAATAAGAAAAATAAGCGTATTTTATTTTTTCAGTAATATCTTATTTTAGCTTGGACCTTTTTTTCAGTCTTCTTCATTGGCAGTTTTGCATCCTTCAGAGCAACCCTGTTATGAGGAACTTAAAGTAGAAAATGGTTAGGTATTAAGTGTGCTGTTTTTTTGGGCTATTTCTGGTTGTTTTTTTAGATTTGTTATCTTATTTTCATTTTAGTATATTGTAACTGCTTAAAATATTCAGGAGCTTTATCAACAAAATTAAAGCTGAAACCTCGTAGTTTATTTATTGTTTTTACTAGGCTTTATTTTTTATTGCAGAACTGAGTCAGAATGAGCTTCCGGCTAAAGATTTTACGGTGGAACGAGCAGAAGATGAATTCACTATTTCGAAGGACGCTGCCTATGATGAATTGGTGAAAAGAGCTTTAGAAAATAAACCAGTGCAATTCAAGGTGTCGTTTTATTTCCGATTGAGTATTTTACACAAGTCAGTTTGCTTTTTGTAGAGTCTTGCTGAAGAAGTTGCGCTTTTTGATGGGGAATTAAATGAAACGGCAACTGTTTTTAACGATAAGGGCGATATCTGGAATGAAGTTTGTTTTTTTTTTTTTTTTTTTTGTGAATACATTGAAAGATTTAATCTAGTTGGGTTTTTCTAATTATAAATTTCTTATTAAATTAATCAATCTGTGAAAGCCTTCTTTTTGAGCGGTGATGCTTGATCAACTTATTAAGGAGACGTCAAATGCGATTTTCAGAGTCGGTTGCCCATGGCATGCTCTTATTTTTCGGTTACTTCGAAGTACTTTATCTTTTGTTGCCCTAAAAAGGATGCTTATCCATGGTTTATTTTGCTTTCTGATATAACGGAGAAGTGTTGGGTAAAAATGAGGCAGAAGGGGGAATTAGTTGTCATGAATGGTCAGCTGTTTTTTGTTATTATCATCTTTGTAATATGATTTTGCTAGTTAGTGTATGTGATATTCCTTTCTGTTTATGGCTCTCTCCTAAAAAGAAACCTTCCTGTCAGTTACTCTTATACTTATGTCCTTTTTTACCTTAAGACAACAATTCGTTAGTGTGGCGGGTGGAAAAAGGAGTCGCATATGCGCCAATGATTGGAAAAAGTGATGAAGAAATTTTATTACTTTATCCACATTGGCATGCGGTTGCAAATGATACAGAGGGAGTTGCTGAGATTTCGCTGACAAAAAATGCTGCTTGGTACATAACGAATTCCGGTCAGGTTGGTATTAGATTAGCGAGAGTGTGATTTAGTAATAGATGCTTATTACTGATGCGTCTTGATTTTCTTAACTTTTTTTTAATTTTATTAGGGGCTTAGGGCTTGAAAAGGATGGTGTAATGTTTCGACTTTGCATTGAGACAAAATTACTCTTAGGTTTTTGCGCAACTGAGACTTCCTGAAATGGGAATTTTTGGCCGTTGTGAAACTCCTTGGCGATTACACAGTATTACTGCTAGCGAAGTGGCGGTATGGGCAATACAAAGTGATACAGGTCATTTAGTCGTACGTGCTGGATTAAAGCATACTCCGCTCGGTCTTGACTGGGTTGAAATAGAGTAAGTTTCGGGAATCCTTGTGAAAGAATCTAGTCGTAATATTGTTCTTTTTCTATTGGTCTAATGTTTTATCTTTCACAATTTTTGTTTATTTATTTGTGTTGATTTATCTCTGGTACTCAGTTGTGAGGGACCTTCACGCTTATTAAGCGTTTGTCTTTTTGGTCAAAGCGGATGGGCCATTGATAGCAATTATTGTTTGTGGTTCATCAATGGAGTTGATTTTCAAAGTCCCTTTGGAACCACCGGTGTTTGGTTACAGGTACTTTGCTTGTTCGTTTGGCAGCTGCTTACTTTGCATTTGCTCCTTCTTTCCGAATATGACTTGCCTTTTTTGCCTTAATTTGTTTTTCTATGATGGCTTTTCTTTGTGAAAGTGTGGCAACTAATTTTTCCTGTTACTGATGTTGCTTATCACTGGTAGGTCTGTTGTCCGTGGGCTGATTCACCAGATCTTTCTCGTTGTCGTCTTAATGAAATTAACGTGAAAGTTTCTTCATTTGGTGTATTCGTTAATATTGGTCGCAAGCTATATTGGAGCTCTTCGAGAAGTTGTATTACAGGACATTCATTTAAAAGGATGGTTCCAGAAAAATTTGCTCATGATGACTCTTTTGAAATGATCTCTGCAGGAGGACTTAGTGTCGGCGATACTGGTTAGCTTATTAATTGGCCATGTGTTTGTTATGGACCCCTCTTCTTTATTTTACTCGCTGTACAGTACTAAACTCTGCAATACGTTTAGCGTTTTTTTAAATCAGTGACTTCTCAGAACTTTAGTTTTTGATGGTATATGGATCGTCATGGTGTTGTTAAAAGGATAATTTGGAAATATTTTGTATTTGGTCAAGTGAATATCAGAAGCTTAGAAACTTTATAACATTTTGACTTTTTCTATTTTTCAGACTTTGTTGCACTGTGCCGTAAAAACGAATTGTATTTGTTCCGGCTAAAAACTAGAAATTTTTGTTCCTTACCTGTCATACCATCTTCTTTGAGTGCTTCTGTAAGTTGCTGCTTCTAACAGCATTGTTTTTTACTTCCAAAGATTTCTTATTTTAAATATTGACATGTCACCCGTGATGCACAGTCGTTACAATTACCTTTTTATTACAACGCTAAAGCCTGTGGCTTGAACCCTACTTTGAAATTTTATATAGTGGTTTAAGTTCTAAAAGCAGCTGGTTCTACAGGTCTCCCAAATTTGTTCGATCAACAGCTCTGTGTTCGTTTTGGACACATCAGGTTGCATTTATTTGAAGAAGTCCATTGGCAAAGTAACGCCTTTTGGGTTGCCATGGAATCTAATTGATACAGGCCAATGTGGTTAGCTTATCCCGCCTTATATTTCTTGTAACCTTGCTTCCGTTCACCTCAGCAAGTCTGTAGTTTCTTTATACAGTTACCATGAATTTTTATGGATGATTTGCGGGAAATTTTGTTCTCCTCAGGATCACCGGTGAAATCTTTTGCTGTTACACGTTGCTCAATATGGGTGCTAACATTGGATCTGCATGTTTATATGCACTCGCGCTCGGAGGATTTCGAACCGTCTGTAGGAAGCAAAGTATGTTGGAAACAAGTTGAATTAAATAACCAGTCTCCCGACCAGGTCTGACTTTTTTCAATGAAGAAAGATTTGTATTTTCTTTTAACAGTTTTTTATATTGCTTTTTATTTAGAATTTCTGATAATGGTTAAAAAGTTTAGTTTTTTTAAAAGTTTAGATACGAGCGTCTAATTCTGGCTTATATGTATGGATTTTCTCTTCCCAACTAGGCCGAGCGTGGGCTAGAAGTTGTATAGATGGAAATTTTCCATGTGGCAAAACTTGGCTTGAGGTATCACTTAATTACTTTCTTAGAGTTTTGTAACTTTTATTCCTACTCATATTATCAAAGAAAAGAGCTTCAGGCGAGCACAGAACCTGGTGTTGGGGAACTGGCAGTTGGTTCTCGAGTTGTGTGGTGTTTGTCACAAAGTAACCAGTTATATCGGCTTCGAGGGTTGTCCCTTTCTAATCCGGCAGGAGATTACTGGAAGGCTGTCCCTAAAAAGTTGAAAGCTATTTCAGTGGATTCTAACGATCACCTATGGGGCATTGATCTGGAAGACCGACTTGTTTATCATAAAGTCTGTTTTAATTTCTGTTTTTAAGTGCGTTATATTGCTTTACTTTTCGCTTTGTTCTTTAAATTTTATCAATTTATTTGTCATTTTTAGGTAGAAGTTTACCCACCAACTTTTGATCGAAGTCCTATAAGTCTTCAAAAAATGTCATCTGGCGAGGACGAAATTGATTTCGAAATCCTTTAAAGGGAACAATACATTAATGATATCTTTTTTATTTAATCTGGTATTTGTACATGATGGCTCATTCTTGTTAACCAGGTCTGCGATTTTTAAAGCTGCGTTTTAATTTACGGGTTTTTTTTTTGTGATACGTTGTGCATATGTGGAACTAATGAGGATTCCAACTCTGTCACTTTCATATGCATTGTTACTTGGCTTTTGAAAATTTTTGCCAAAATTTATTTATTTTTTTAGCATGTAGAGAAATGTGTTTTCAACCTCTGTTGGATATTCATATTTGGCTTTTATTCGTAAGTCAGTTAATGGGAAGAAGTTTTCAGAAATTTATCTCAAAAATTGGCAACAGAGTTATTGTTCTTAATTTCGAGTTAGTAAGGGTCATTTTTGAATAGGTAAAATGTTGAACGTGAAAGTTACATTCTTAAAAATTCTTGGGAATACGTTTTGAAATCAAAATCGTGGCCATACTTTGCTGTTGTGAAATGGAACTTTCCGACATTTAATTTTGTGTATCAAAACTTGGCTGTTGAGTGTTCATGTTTGTCGTCGTATATCTTTTGTTTATAGTAAATAAACGCTTATGGTATATGAGCAAAAGCCTGGGTAATTGTAAAAATGTTATTGTTGATGTGGTGTTGTACAAAAATGCTGATTTTTTTGTTACCGTAGTTCCCTGAGTTCCGCTCATTTTAGAGTCTCAAATTTTTGGCAACTTGTGTAATTATAGTTGGCTGGATTGCAGTACGAGGTATCTGATCGATACGTATGTTTCATGTAGTGTTCCTGTGGTAGAGGGTTTATTTTTCTGTAGATATTTTTTGTTTTTCATTTTTCACACTCAGTGGAAGATTGGAGTAAAATTTTCAGCAGTTAAAATTATAATTGGTTAGCGGTCATTCACTGGTCAGTAGCAATAGTTGATTCAGAAGTTTGTTGGCAGATAATTGTTTTTCTAAGTGGTTCTTTTTTTTTTCACGTACCATAATCAGTAAACACAGGTAGGAGCGACAGCAGCGGGACCATTAGCAGAAGCGTAAAAGAAGAGTACAAAACAAAATTGGTTAATGTAGAGTTAGAGTTGAAGGACGGGGTTGGGTGGGGGTGTTAAAGGGGATAGGGGGGAGAGTGGGGGAAAGAAGGTAAGAAAAAAAGGAATATAGTGTTGTGACAGTGTTTAAGTCTATTTTTGAAGTATTTGTGTGTATGTGTAAAGCAAAAATTGAATTTAACTAAACAGACAGAGTACTGTTTGAGTTGGACGTAGTTAGAAAATAAAACGCTTTTGGTTTTAAAGCCGCAAACTGATGTGTCACGAAACTGAATATTTACACGATTTCGCACACAGTTCGCTATGGCACAACAATCAACGACTGGTTGCATAAGATGTCCACAGAAAGACTGCTGCAATTTTCTATAAAACTAGATTTGTAGGAAAAAAAAATGTAATTTTTTTCTTTCTTCATTTAGTTTTACCTCTCTCACTGCGTATAATTATCAATAAAATTTGATTCAATTCCTTTTTTGTTATTGGACTGATAACTGAATGTTCAATTTGCTCTTCTTGTCCTTGTCTTTGGTCCCAATCCCGCTCTTGGTACTGTTGCTGTTGCTGACAGTACAGCTTCTGTCAGCTTTGTTGCTTCCGCTACTGTCACTTTGGTTGCTAATAATGGTGTCATTTAATAAATGTACCAATATTGCAAAAATGTGTTCTATCTAAAATCTAAAACAAATGCACTTCTGCAGCCACTGCAGTTGTCGGTCAGTTAAGAGGTACCTTAAATTGACTGTCATTCATTTAGCAGAATTTGAAGATTCAGTAAGGAAAAAGAAAGCTATAGAAGGTTGTCAATTTTCTTATTTTTTTTTTTTTTTTGATGAACTCTTTATTTCAAAATGGTTATCTAAAAAGTATGGTTTTCTTTCTTTTTAAATACATTTATGTCGTAAATTTAAATTTTTTCTTGCAGTTTAATTTGATGGACTGTTTAATGCTTAAATTATCAACATTTATTTACTTTTCTTGTTCTTTGTTTGTTTTTTTTTCGTTTTGCAAACTTCAACTATCTCTTTTTTTTGATGTTGTAAGATATAAATCATATGTTTCAGTCTGTCTTTCTTTTTTTCCAGCTTTTTTCCTCGCTGTTTTTGCTGTTGCTATTTGTCGTTTACAGATTTTGCAACTTAAAAAAAAAAAGAACGGGCAATGTATTTTGAAAAAATATGAATAAGGAGTAAATTTTGTTTGCTGATCTGATGGAGAAAAAAAAATTCTATTAAAATTTGTATCTGTTTTTTTTTGAAAGCTTTTTTTTTTTACTTTCGCTGAATTTCTTTGCCGTCGATATAGCCATCGTTTATAAGGAGTTGTTAAATTATTTGTTGCCTAGTTGATCGTTAACTTTTTCTTGTTTTTCAGATTTTCTGAAGGTGAGATGACCGAACAGCTGAAAAAAGAAGGAAATTAAACCAATATTAGTTCATTTCTTTTTTTCAAATATTATTGTCACATTGATCGTAGAGCACAGCTCTATGTTAAATATTTTGTTGAAATGCTGTCTGCTTAAAAGTCAACAAAACTTCCGAATTTTTATTCAAGATTTTTATTTTTTTTTTTAATTTTTAAGAGTTAACCGATATTTTTTCTGGTTGACAGTATTATACCATTCACAGTTTTCTTTTTTTTTCTGTTTTTCTTATTTCCTCATTTTACAATAAATATTCTTTGTTTAATTATCGTCTGTGATTCTTCCTCAGTGTTCTTCACTGTTTGATGAATGTTTAGTTGTTTCTGTACGGAAATAGACTAACGTTTACAACGGACAAATATTTAGCTTATTGTCTAGTTTTAACTGTTGTTCAACTGTTACAGATACATGAAAGATTTTAGTAAAATTTCTTCTAAAATTTTTTACTTTATAAAATTTTAAAATTAGTTTTTTGGTTAATGTCTATTTTCGCGTCGTATAACCGTTGATCAACTTTCTTCTCCACATAACCATCGCTTTAGTGAATGATTATTTTTTACTGAATTTATTTATTTGTATGATTTTTGAATTTTTAGCGAAAATTATTGTAAACAATTTGAAATTTTTTTCTTTTAATTTAATAAGAGCTTTTTAGTTCCACTGTTCTATAATCATAAATATATTTGCTGAAGGGGAAAGAGAACTTGCTCTTTACTTCTAATTAAATCTGACTAGTAATTGATAATTTTTAAGTCAAAAAAAAAAAATAAGTCAGTTCTGTTTGTTGACCACTGACATAAAAAAATCAGTCTGTTGAGCATTTTTTTAATTATGATGTTTTTCAATGCTACAAATTTTCAAAGCTGTTTTATAAGAAGAAAATTAAATGTCGACTTTATTGAATCGTTCAATTAGAATTGGTTAGGTTACAGTCTTTTTTTTGACGCTATATTAGCAAAACTTTTCACAATTCATTGAAAAGAAAAAATATATATTGAAAAAAAAAAAAAAGCAACAAAAAAAGAAAAAGTGAAAGAAAAGTCAACAAAATTACAGTTCAATTAAGCAATAGGCACTGTTGTGAAAAAAAGAAAAAAGGAAAGTTTTTGCTGGTCATTTTGACATTCCATTGTTTTCCAGTTTATTACTGTCAGTGTCCTGGTACAACCAGTGCACTAACTGGACACATATTTGATCTCTCTCAAATACTGTTCCACCGATTAGCACAGTTGTTGAAGAATTTTTGGACGTGTTAATCAATGGATAGCCGCTTCAAATAAACGATTATGTAATCTAATTATGTGCTTGTAAAAAGGTTTTTTTTT